TCTGTGTCTGTCCGTCTGTCTCTGTGTCTGTCTGTCTGTCTGTCTGTCTGTCTGTCTGTCTGTCTGTCTCTTCCTGTCTCTGTGTGTGTGTGCACACATACAGATGGAACCCAGGGCTTCACCCATGCTAGGCCTCATCTCTAGCACCACTATATCCCCAACACTAAAGAGCAAGCTTCACAATTGGTCAATGGAAAGCCAGAACTGAGTGTAAACCGTTCTCCGGAGTCTGATTTACCCACAATAGCCTTGGGCCCAGCACTAGCACTTCTAGGAGACCTTGTGCCAGGACCCCTCCCTGCCCCTCTAGCAGAGGCAAGAATACAGCGAACACATAATGGAACGTATTTGTAGATGCCCTGGAATTATATCATGACAGGTCTGTTTCTTTTCTCTCAGTTTCCAGATAAGGATGCAGAGGCCAGGGAGTGGCCATTATCCCTAATGCTGAAGAAATCCATCAAGAAATGAACCTTTAGTTCTGACTATCAATCCTGTGCTCTAACCATAGACAACTAAGCCTCCATCGAGATTTGCTCGAGGGAAAATGCAGTGGCAGTTCACAGGAACCATTAAGGAGGGAGATAGAGGCCTTGCCTGTCCCTACTCACAAAATGTCTTTCCTCCATGGGGGACACGGATGGTGGGCAGCTTGGGTGGAGGTCAGCAGAACTCCTGATATTTGCGGCCACATCATCCTACCCCTGGGGATGGGAGCCCTGCCTACCCCACCCCAGTTTTTCACAGTTCAGGGTAGTGGAGAGGGCTTCTCTTAGCTGGTCCCACATCACACTTTCCAGGGAGGATGACTTCTGTAGAGGGCACTGGCTGAGGGAGCTGGAAGCCGGCCTAGGAGGAGGCTAAACAGCTGCACAGGCCAAAGAACCAAAGGCACAGAAAGCCACGAGAGCCATTGTGATGTCTCCCTTTGGTTCTCTAAGGGCATTTCTGCCCAGTGGCTGCATGCCCTCTAGAGTAGGAGAAGCCACCTGCCACTGCCCCTAACCTGCCCCCACACACACTGCACATCTCTCCTCTAGCAGAAGCCTGCACAACAGAGACCTCATCTTTGCTTAATCCCAGCTTCAAGCTCTTTCCACGGCAGATTTGGCTCAGGGTCCAGCCAACCCAGCTGGAAGATGGAGCTCCCGGGGAAAGTGCGACGTGGCTGAGAATGTGCCCAGAAGGCGGGAGTCCTGAAGGCAGGGCTAGGGAGAGCAGCAAACGCTGAGCCAAGTATAACTCTCTAAGAGCCTTCCTCGTTCTTCCAGCCAGAAGGCAAGTGTCACCCCTGTCTCACAAGACCCTGGCCCCATTCACTCACTTTTGCAAGAACTCCTCCAGCCCACAGGGCTTCAGCACAAAGTCGCCCACATCCACTTCCCTCAGCTCATCATGGGTGTAGCAGAGGGTCTGGTAGATGAGCAAGTCCACAGTGGAGGAACCTGGAAAGGGTAAGGCAAAGGATCGAGGGCAGTGACATCAGGCAACTGGGACAGACCCTCCCCACCTCAATCCTTCATCACCAGCTAAGTGGTCTCTAGTACCCACTGGCAGTCAGATAGAGCAGACAGACACACAGCTTGGGGTTGAGGAAAGTTACTATATACCCAGAAAGCTGGCCCTTCAGAAATGTCCTCATTCAGGCTACAGAGTGAGGTGAGAAACAAAATCCTCCAGTCCCGAACAGTCCTCCCTGCCTCAGCTCCAGGGACACTCATGTAATCCCCGACTAACTCACAGTTGCAGGTAAAGGTGAGAGGCTCCCGAAGACTGTCACACAACACAGTCACCTTCAGGTTGACCTCATCCCCAAGGTGCTCTGGGCTCGGGGTGACAGTGCTCCAGACACACCCAGTGAGGGAATAGTCCTGGATATCAGAGCCCGTTCGAAGGCTGTGTAGGAAGAAAAGGAGAAGGACCCTTGCGTGTCTTCAAAGGGCCGGCAGGGCCCCTCCCACACAATAGCCCACTGGCTTTTCTATCCCTACTCTGTGGGCTAGGCTGGGGCAGCGGGATGGCAACCTGGGGAAGCTGTAGTCTTTCTGGTCATCTTTGTTACAGTTGCAAACCAATCCCCACAGTGTAACAGTATTGAGAGGTCCAAAAGGAGTTTTCTACACTAAGTTTAAAAGGATTTAACCAGTAAGTGCTGAGCAGTGGTGGTGCACGCCTTTAAGCTCAGCACTTGGGAGGCAGAGGCAGGCGGATTTCTGAGTTGGAGGCCAACCTGGTCTACAGAGTGAGTTCCAGGATAGCCAGGGCTACACAGAGAAACCCTGTCTCAAAAAAATCAAAACAACAACAACAACAAAAACCAATAAGTAATTAGAAATCAATTTCCTTCCTCTTCCATACAAGAGAAGTTTTTTCTTCACTGAGAGGTATGTTTGCTCCTAAGGGCAGCCGAGGGTCAGGGCCGGAAGCAGAGGGACAATTAGACTGATCAAGACTTGTGATTTTTTTGTTTTTTGTTTTTTGTTTTTTTGAGACAGGGTTTCTCTTTGTAGCTCTGGCTGTCCTGGAACTCACTCTGTAGACCAGGCTGGCCTCCAACTCAGCAATCCGCCTGCCTCTGCCTCCCAAGTGCTGGGACCAAAGGTGTGCGCCAACACTGCCTGGCTAAGATTTGTGAATTTTACTAAAATATGAAACTGGTTTTTGTTTCTGAGACAGAGTATCACTATGTAGCCATGGCAGGCCTGGAACTTGCTATGGAGACCAGGCTGGCCTGAAACTCATAGAGATCCACCTGCCTGTGCCTCCCAAGTGTTGTGCCACCACACCTAGCAAACTTTTAAGATTTCATAAAAACCTTCAGACACCTACTAGAGAAGGGTCTCACTCTGTAATTTTATTTACTATAGCTCTTCCTCCTTCCTAAAGGAAAAGGTAGCTTCACACACCCACGCACCCACGCATGCACGCACATGCACGCACATGCACACATACATCCTCCTCCCCGGATCCCATCCTTCAGTTCTTACATATCCAGCATGTGGCAGAATGCAGCAACTTCCTCATCTCTCTCCTCTGAGACCTCAAACAATTCGTGGCCATTGGCGACAGTGTGGGGCTGAGAGCCCACCTTAAAAGGAAGAACAGCTGACTCAGCACTTTTTCCCCTCTGGAATCCCTTCTCTGAAGGGCCTCCCAGATGTGAAACAGCCCGTGTGTAAGGACTTTCAATGTAACATTAAACATACACACACACACCCCACTACACACATAAATCCAGAAATATATTATCTGCCAACCTAGGACACCAAAGACCAAACTGAAAACGGATTTGAAGCCTGGTCTGAGAATAGAAGCTGGGGCAGTGGATAAGAGTGGCCAAACCTGCTTTGTGAGGGGAGACGTGTCTGACCAGCCCAGTGTGGACATAATCAGGCAGTATTTAATACAGTGCTGAGAGTCAACCACGGGCAAAGCATTCTTGGGAAAGCTCCCAGAGACACTCGAGTGAACTCAGCTAGGTTAGGCAGGTGTTCAGCCCAAATGGTCCCCAGGGAGGCCTGGCCTTGGACATCCAAAGCCCTGAAAACCAGACTCTAGGACTGAGCTTGTCCGTGGTGGTATGACTCGGACACCCGTGCCTTCTCAGGAGGAAGATCAATGTGACAAAGCAGGGCTCTGGGCTGGAAAGAGCCTGGCAGGGCTCCTTCTTTAGGCTCCTCAGAGACTTGCTGGTTCTAAGCAGCTATGGCTACAGGAAGCCCACCCAAATCAATCTCATTTCCTTTCCCAGAACATGAATTTAGTGCTGGGATCCTTAGACAAGTCCCCAAACCATCTCCCATCCCAGGACTGTGCTAAAACACTCAGGAAACTGTCAAATGAGCCCCAAGGAAGAACAAATAAGGAGAAAGCTAGTACTGATAGGCCTTCCAGGCCTGCCCAGGGCAGCAGCCCAGGAATGAGGCTTCGGCTCCATAGATTCCCAGGCTGCATCTGGTAAAAGCGGCAGGTCCTAACAGCTGCTCTGGGGAGGAAGGGGGGTGTCTGATACTGTGGTTAGTGTGTGCCCCCTCACTTCCCATCACCCCTTCAGCTGTTCCTATGCCTTCCCTGCCCCTCAGGGCAGAAGGCACCAACCAAGCTCTTCACTGAATATTCTGACTGCAAGTGTCCCTCCCTCTGGTCTCTCTTACTCCCCTGGGTATGTGTAGGGTGGGGGTGACAGTACATGAAGGAAAAGGCAGCAGTGGGGGCAGTTGGCAGTAGGGGCAGTTGGCATGTGAGGCCCTGGCTTTGCCAAGCGTATGCCTGTGTTCCAGTCCAAACAATAGCACCACTGTCAGCAATTAACCTATGAGAAAGAGTCAGAGAGAAAGAAGAGGCAAGAGAGGCCGGGAGGGAAAGGGACAAACAGAATGGCCACTGAAGGCCATTTCATACCCTTTCTGTAACATTCTCTGGCACTGTAAGAAAACAAAAGCCACTTACGTTTGCCCGGCTGGCAGGCCCTGGTGGCATCGTCCGATGCTGGTCGGGGGAGTCTGCCAGGCAGAGGCTGGCAGCGGGGGTACCAGGCTGGCATTTGGAGTTAGCCCTTTCCAGAGATGGCTCACTGGGCCTGGGATAAGTAGGATCTTTCCGGTTGGAAGCCCGGTGAAGGCGGGGTGGGGGTATAGGCGCAGAGCTCAAGGGGTCTCCCCTCCCAGTAGGCTGTGCTCCTGCCCCAAGCTGAGGTGGGGGGGACCACTGTCGCATTGCTTCCCCCACCCCAGAACTGGCAAGAGCTTTTTGCTTTGCTCTTGCTGCTTCAAGGAGAGTCCGGGCCAGGTCAGACTCCCTCTCAGTACTCTGATGACACATGAGATGGGGGAGGGAAGACAAAGGTGACTACCATCTACCCCAGGCTGCCCGACTCTGTGAGCAGGCCCAGCTCTGTGTGATGAACTCGTCCCATCCCTATAAATAGCAGGAGCAGCCCCACCTCTGAGTTGAGCCTTTAAAAAGCCTGCGCTCCAGCAGCTCACCCTGATTAGGCTTTGAGGGACTGTCTGCAAAAGCAGAGGAAGGAAGGACCGTGCAGCTGTGTAGAGCTGGAATTGATCCCTAAGGCTGGACGTGAGGTGGGAAAGCCCCAGGGCACTAAGACAAAGGGTAAGGAGGAAAGAGGGCTGGAAAGAGGGGCGGGCTGTAAGTTGTTACACTGGTCCGAAGCTATGTAGCAGCCTGACTTCTGGGAGCAGGGTGTCCATAAGTCAAGGGTAAAATAAGGTGGCCTTCATACCCCCCACCCCCCTGGAGATACTCCTGACACTTCACAGGCCAAAGACATATCAACGAATCTGTAGTAACCATCTGGGATGAAGAGACTTTGTTATACATACATATATGTGTGTGTGTGTGTGTGTGTGTGTGTGTGTATACATATATACATATAAATACATATGTATGCATATAATATGTAATACATGTATATTATATGTATATATATTATCATACTGTCAGGCTTTTTCACTGAGGAAAGAGTGGGAAAAGACAGGTAAAAGTAAACACCCCCATATTGAACTACATACTTTTAAATGGCCAATGGCAAATGTGTCACATATATTTTTATCACAATAAAAAGCAGTGAGGAAGGGAGGTTGAGAGGAAGAGGGAGGAAGGGAGAGACTTTGGAGTGAGACCAGGGTCTAATACCAGCTCTCCCAGTTCATGCTGTGTGGCTTTGGAGCATCAGACAGGGTACTGTGGAGATCTGGATGGGGTCACATTCCACTGAACAAGTAACGATATGAGTGATCATCAGGGCCCTGCAGCTGTTGCCAGGGCAGAGCCTCAGGAGATAGAAGCAGCTCAAGTCCCACCCCACCATTCAGCCAGTGAGCTTGGTGACTCCTAACTCGGTCCTTACTTCAAGAAAGAAGTACCTAGTGACAGCCAGTACTTCCAAACACCTGCCCCCAGAAGGGCTCTTTTGGCCATCACATTGAAACTTGGCCTAGAAAAGGAGCCAGACTTTCCTGATGTCCCTGGCCCTGCCTCCCATAATAAAGCCTAGCTTGGATCCCTCCCCAGCGCACAAGGGCCCTGAGGACAGAGGGGAGGACTAAAGGGCAAGTGGGTTCTTTATAGATCTGAATTTGGAATGGCAAAGATAAACTGGTTTATGTTCTGAACGAGTGCACAGGAAGGTCCTCACCGGAGCAGCAGAAATCCGGCGGTTCTTGCCCGGTGTTGCATTTTTTCGGTTGGCATATCGAGAAGTATAGGTTCGAGGGGGCACCTGAGGGGGCATCGTCTTGCTCCGGGCCACAGGTTTCCCAGAGGTGTCCTTGTTGAAGTCCAGGGGCCCTCGGCCCTCCTTCCAGCCCCTGGTAGCATCAGACGATATCTCCGAATCATAAGTGGACTTCAAGTTGAGCCTGGTAATTGCATCGTTGATGCCATCATAGTCCACAGACCCCAGCATGTGGTGCTGTCCCCCGCCATCAGGCAGATCTCCCTCTTCTGTGTCCTGGGCCCCTAGCAGTTTGTCAGATGGCTGTTCCACCAAAGAGAAACTATTGATATCATTAGGCTGAGAGATCTTGGAGGGTGAGGGAGATCCCTTTCTAGGAGGCAAGGGAGGGGCATCCCAGATAGAGACACGAGGAGGGAGAGGAGGTGGGGATAGTTTCTTACAAGAGCCACCTGTGTCACCTGATCCTGGAGACAAAGAACATCTCCCATCTGAGCCATCAAAAATATAGAGATAGTCTCCAGACAGGGAGCCCTTGGGCCAGGGGTCTGGGCCAGGCTGTGGATCCTGGGAGGTAGAGTTGGGGAGCTCTTCTGGTGGGGGGACAGAGTTGTAATTTAGGGTGGGATCAGAGCCAGAAAGACCACGCAAGAGCTTGAGATCGGACCGTCTGCCTGTTGGCTTGCTGTAGAAGTCCAAGGCTGGCTCATCCCAGCTGATAAGAGAGGGTTCTGTGTTCTGCTTGGCTCTGCTCTCCTCCTTGTGGTGTCGGAGCCTGGAAAGAGCATCATACTCCATCTGCAGGGCTTCAGCCATAGCCAGCTCTTTGCGGCTGATGCCCACCGACTCCAGGGACTTCCAGTGCTCCCCATTGCCCTGAGTCGAAGACATGATGAGGGTGGGGGCACAGGAGGTGACGAAGCCTTCTAGTTCCTGCCAGTGTCAGGCCTGGTTGTCAGGTACATATTGTCTTGGGACCTGTAGGCAATGGATAAAAATGTGATTTAGTTACAAAGCAAGACTTATCAATAATCTGATATTGTGACAATAAAGTGACATAATCCAGGCCATTGTTCCTTTCTTCAATGCCCACATCAGAAGTAAAGAAACAGAAAGAGGAAAAAAGAGAGACCAAGGCAACTTTATTACAGCTATCCACCCATCCTTCTATCTCTGGTCCTAATTCCTATCCTTCCCTCCATTAGGTGTGCTTCCTGGAAAGAAAGAGGTACTCAGTTTATTCCTTTTAACAGTTATCTATCTGTTTGCTCTTAGGGGAAGGTATAGATGTCATAGACATATGTGGAGATCAGAGGACAACTTCCATGAGTCCTTAAAAAACAGGTACTTGGGCAGTGGTGGCGCACGCCTTTAATCCCAGCACTTGGGAGGCAGAGGCAGGTGGATTTCTGAGTTCGAGGCCAGCCTGGTCTACAGAGTGAGTTCCAGGACAGCCAGGGCCACACAGAGAAACCCTGTCTCAAAAAAAAAACAAAAACAAAAACAAAACAAAAAACCTTATCATCAGCCAAGAGTGGAAGGGGAGACAGGGGCTCTTCAGTCTAAGAGGACAGTTGTCTAGGGCCAGACTCAGTGATAGAGTGTCTATCTGTCCAGCATGCATGAGGTCCTGGCTTCCATCCCCACCACTGCCTAAATCAGTGGTTCTCAACCTTCCTAATGCTGTGATCTTTTAATGCAGTTCCTTATGTTGTGCTGACCCCAATAACACTACTTCATTGCTACTTCATAACTGCAATTTTGCTACTGTTACGAATCATAATGTAAATACTTGTATTTTCTAACGGTCTTAGGTGACCCTCATCAAAGGGTTGTTTGATCTCCCAAAGGGGTCATGACCCAAAGATTGAGAACCATTGGTCTAAAGTGTCTTTCAAAAATTAAGGTTAGGTGTGACAGTGAGATGATTTAGTAGTACAGGCTGAGGACCTGTGTTCAAGCATCAGAACACCTGAGAAGACAGAACCTGGTCCTTAAAGTTGTCCCCTGACTTCCACGCATGGGCTAAGCAAAGCAACCCCCCCCACACACACACATACACACTCACATACTTCTATTATATGTGCATATAATAATACAGTTAAATATTTTTTTTTTAATTAGAAGGGGAAAGGTTCTATCGAGAAGGCATAGTGGTAAAACATTAACCTAGGAGGTGCAAGGCCCTGGGCTTGAACCCCAGTGCCATATGAAGAAAAAAAAAAGCCAGGCATGGTGGCACATGGTATAATCTAAGCATTCAGGAGGTAAAGGCAGAAACCAGGCATTCATAGCCAGCCTGGGTGACCTGGGAGATGTTTCATAACAAGAATTAACAAGGAGGGGCTAAAGAGATAGCTCAGTGGCTGAGAGCATTGGCTGCTCTTGCAGAGGACCCACGTTCAGTTCTCAGCACCCATATGGTAGTTCACAACTATCGGTAACTCCAGTTCCAGGCAATCTGATGCCCCCTTCTGAGCTCCCAGGGGAGCAAACACACATGCGGTGCACATATATATACACAGGCAAAAGTGTCATGCACATACAATAGAAGTACATAAATCTAAAAGTTAAAATTAGCAAAGAAGCTGGGCTGTGGTGGTACATGCCTTTAGTTCCAGCACTCAGGAGTCAGAGGCAGTTGGATCTCTATGAGTTCAAAGCCAGCCTGGTCTACAGAGTGAGTGCCAGGGTTACTCAGAGAAACCTTGTCTCAAAATCAAAACAAAACACCCAAAAAATGGCAGAAAAGAAAGGCCAGCTTCCATGCAGTCACACACAGCTAGTGGAACGTAAAATGGCATAACCACTTTGGAAAGGACAGCTTCCAACAAAGGCAAGCACATGTCTACTTATGACTCGATTGCAGACTTGTGCACAGACGTTAAATACAGGATTGGGCTGTAGCTCGTCAGTAGAATGCTTGCCTGGCGTGCACAGGCTCAGTTTGATAGATGGCACTCCAAATAAGTACAAAACAAAACAATAAGCCTCAAATAGTGAATGTAGAAGCTTTACTTATAATATCCCTGTGGCGGTTTGAAGATGCTTGGCACAGGGAGTGGCACTCTTTGGAGGTGTGGCCTTGTTGGAATAGGTGTGGCCCTGTTGGAGGACTCTTCAACAAGTGCTAAAGTATGTCACTGTGGGAGTGGCTTCTCCTTGTTACCTGGAAGCCAGTCTTCTCCTAGCTGCCTTCAGAACAAGATGTAGAACTCTCAACTCCTCCAGTGCCATGCCTGCCTAGATGCTGCCATGCTTCCAGCCATAATGATAATGGGCTGAAACTCTGAACCATTAAGAAAACCCCATTTTTTTTAAGATTTATTTATTTATTTAATGTATACAAGTACACTGTAGCTGTCTTCAGACACACCAGAAGAGGGCATCGGATCCCACTACAGATGGTTGTGAGCCACCATGTGGTTGCTGGGGATTTAACTCAGGAC